AGCGATATATTATATGAAGAATTTGGATAACTGGAGACCTGTGGCCGAACCATTCATTTTATCATCACACACATAAAACCAATGGAATTTTAGTGATGACAAAGGAAAACAAATATTGATATGTAGTGTTAATTGTATTTGTTCTATCTCTTTTTGTAGATATTTTTTTATGATCTGATGTTTGTAGCTGAACCATGTAGCTTTAGTAAACCATTTATAAAATACCGAACCATTATTATTATCCTTAAAGGAAAACAAATATTGATATGTAGTTTTAATTGTAATTGTTCTATCTTTTTTTTATGATATCTTTTATGTTACATACATATATCATGAAAAGAGTTTGTTTCTGAATATAACTAATTTCATTTATTTAACAAATATCAACTGATGTTTGTTGCTAAACCATGTAGCTTCAGTAAACCATTCATTTTATCATCATACGCATTTAAGTTTTCACTGAACAATTAGTAGTACATTGACCACAACTTGCTCAATAAAGCTCCAATTGATGAGAAGTTTAAATCTTTAGAAACTAGATAGACAATGCTTTAATTTGATATATTATACGCTTAATTTGGATAACTGTAGCTCCACTGTCAGACAATTCATTTTATCATCATACACATTTTGATTTCCACTGGAAAATCAGTAGTAAATTGACCATAACTTTCTCAATAAAAATCCAATTGATGAGAGGTTTGAATATTTAGAAACTAGACAGATAGGGCTTTAATTTATATATTATACGCTTAATTTGGATAACTTTAGATCCACTGCTGAACCATTTTTTTATTATCACATACATTTTGGTTTCCACTGAACTATCAATAGTAAATTGACCATAACTTGCTCAATAAAAATCCAGTTGATGAGAGGTTTGAACCTTTAGAAGCTAGACAGACAGGCTTTAATTTGATATATTATACACTTGATTTAATAACTATAGCCCTACTGTCCAACCATTTCTTTTATCATCACACACATTTTGGTTTTCTCTGTTTCTCGATTTTCACTGAATAGTTAGTAGTAAATTAGCCATAACTTACTCAATAAAAATCCAATTGATGAGCGGTTTGAATCTTTGGAAACTAGAAAGATAAGGTTTTATTTTGATATATAATAGGATGAATTAGGATAACTATATACCTATTGCCAAACCATTCATTTTATCATTACACACATAAAACAAATTCAATTTTAGTGATGACAAAGGAAAACAAATTTTGATATGTAGTTTTAATTATATTTGTTCTATCTCTTTTTGTTGATTTTGGATTGATTTTGTTGTTTGATTTATGGGTTTTACAATTATTGTCTTTTTAGGATGCTATCATCAAATGTTTTTTTTGCTATAGGTGGTGGTCAATTCTAATTGTAGCAAATGGATTTGTGTCACAAGACCTTTATCTTCATAATTTCTTCAATACTTCAATTAAGTTGCCTTCAGATTATACTGTTGGAGTTGTTGTTGCTTTCTATGTGAGTTCTCTTCTCAACATTCTTAATTTTTCTTATTTCTATAATAATAATAATAATAATAATTCATTTTCTCTTCTCAACAATCAAAATTAATTTTTTCCTTTGGTTCTGCAAGTCTCTTGCTTAAAAGGTCACATTTTTCAACAAGGTTTCTCTTTCTTTGATTAATTTATAGACTTATCAATAATACCCAGTAGGTCATCCTGCAATTTTTTTTTTGCTTTTCTTGACAAAGTTTTGAACTTTGGTAGCAAATGTCAAATGGTAACATATTTGAGAAGAACCATTATGATATAAACTTTGAGTTTAATTTGTGGATATTTTAATTATTCATTTTTTAATTATCAATTCAATATAAAATGAACTTCAGTATAGAAAATATATATTTAAAACACAAAATAACCAATAATAATGTAAAAAAAAAAAATAATAAACATACACGCGCAACGCAACTTGAAAATGAATATAAGTTACAGAAATTACAGAAGGTCAATATAAATTTTGAGTTTAAATAGTTGATCTTGATAATATTCAAGTGATATTAAATATTATACACGTTTCATTACAAAATACTGACATCAAATATCAAAGACATGTCTAAAAAAATAATATCAATTGTACAAGGTGATGATCATGGAAATATAATTAGGCTATATAATATTCAAGTGATATTCTTAAGTTGGATGAATGATTTAATAACATCTACCTATAAGGGGCCGTTTGGATCGGGTTAATATTAGATAACTAGGGTAATATTTTTTAAATTGAGCAAATGACAATGTTTGGTTGGTTTGTAAAAAAATATTTCCAGAATATTTTATGACAAACAGTAGCATTTAGGGGGTAAATTTCTGGTAATCTTAATACTTGGGGGGGGGGGGGGGGNGAAAGAAATCCCTTAAGAGGGGGGGGGGGACAGTACCTAGTGAGTCACGTACCTGTGTGGGCACCGCGAGGAACTCCTGTGTGGGGCCGCGGGTGTGACAATAAAAAGGTGATGGTACTCACCATGCTTCCCAAATAACTATAGCCCCTTGGTCTTGGGTTCGAGTGGTGGGGGAGGCGAAAGAAATCTCCTTAAGGGGGGGAGAGATATCCTGCCATGCTGTGTGATCATGGCCGGCCACCTGTGTGGGCCATTATATAAAAAAGGCGCCTTTTTATTGTCACGCTCTAGCCTGATGGTACTCATGGTGCTTCCCATTTGCCTATAGCCCCTTGGGCATGGGTTCGAGCCATGGGTGAGGCGAAAGAAATCCCTTAAGGGGGGGGGGGGGGGGGGGGGGGGGTGTTTTGGGGTTGTTATTAAAACTTACATTGGTATTACAATTTTTTTCCCATATTGCCCCTAAATAGTTGAGCATTTGGTCCAAATTAACCTTATATTTGCTAATATTTACAAAAACACCCAATCACTCATGCAGACACTTTTGTCCTCGCTTTTTAATTTTTTCGGACGACATTGCTTTTGTTATTATCATTATTCACAGAAATGCCTTTATACCAAGAACTAGTCATCACCGGCAACCTCCGGTGGCCATCAACGGTGGCATACAACAGGCCGTATATGGCTGGCCGTTCGTCGGTGAGGCTTTTTCCGACCATGGATTATAGATCCATGGTCGAAAAAAGCCAGATTTGGCTGTTTCACGACCAAGCATGTGGCCGTGAAACGACGATTGATTTGGCCATGAAACAGCTAGGTCTTTGGCCGTGAAATGATCGGTGTTTCATGGCCAGATTTGTGACACTACCAGCAATGGTGGTTGGCTGGCAGCAGTGGCTTGGGATGTGTAGGGGTGTTTTTGTTAAGTTTAAAATATTTTTGGCTGCTAGGGTGTTTTTGCTCAATCTGAAAAGTAGGGGGTTAATAGAAGTTATTCAAAAAATAATAATAAAAAATACTGTTAAATTAATATTTAAAAAGGAGGGCAATTTAGTAATCTATATAACATACCCACCCATTTATCCTTCCAACTAAACATGTTATTCACCACTATATTCGAACCAACCAAACACATTTTCTAAACATTCCCAGTAATCTTCAAGCTGATCTTTTATTCCGTTAATATAATATCCCCCTATAATAAAACATTATATGATCCAAACGCCCCCTAATTGATATTAATAATTATATCGGTACAATTATTACTTTTCTCTTAACATAACTTTGCATATATACACAACTTATATTTACTTTAAAATTTGTACAATTTAACACTTATTATGTCTTAATCTAATTAGTTTATTTTGTTAGAATAAATTTGTTTACAATCTATTTCAAAAACGTTGAATAAACATACTTGTACAACGCACATGCCCCATGTCTAGTTATAATATAAGAGCGAATTGGTAATTCAATTTAGGTCATTAATACCATTATTTTCATGTTCAAATATAAATAATAGGTTTTAACTTTTCCAAATCAGATGTAAATTTCTAAAAATAAGTGAAAAAATAAAAAACAACGCAAACACTTAGGGTCCGTTTGGTTTGTTATTTTGGATAGGATTTTGAAAATAATATTGGATAGTTGATAGGGTGATTATTACGAGGTAAAATTTAAAATTTAACAAAAAAACTCTATGTTTGCTAATTTAACTAAACACCCCAATATATAAAATTTTGTAAAATGACAAAAACAGCCCCACCCACCCACAGTGCCAGATTTCGGTTATAAGTGGTGAAAACAAACAAGGTCTAAATCTGAAATCTAAAACCGAAATGGTCGTACCAATGGAGGAGATGGGCTAAGTGACTGCCGCATAGCCAAACGTTGCAGCCTACCGCTCCATGAAGCCTACTATACCATGAAGCCAGGCCACACCGACAGCCTACGACGTCGGTTACAACCTGATGGGTTGCCCAGCTACCTCGTCTCCACCATCACAGTGCAAATTCCACAAACTGCCCCCATCACAAGACAACTCAATATCAACCTAATGACAACTCAAATTAGCAAATCAATATGTTTTTTTTTTTCGTTAAGTTTATGTTTTTTATTTGCAATGTTATTTTGCTTTGTTATAGAGATGAAGATAACTCAGTTATCAGAACACGCATAATACAATTTTGTGACAATATGCAAAGTATTGAAGTTGCCAAATCCATTATTCAACAATGTGTTTATGGTATACACATTAAAACCAAACTTTTTACAACATGTAAATTACTCTTGCAACCTTACAAAACATGGTTAAGCTACCTTTCACAACGTGCCTTGTTTGCTGCCAAGAGCTCTTCCACAACATGCTTTGCTTGTTGGATCATATAAATATGAAATCAACAAACCTTCATGAAAATAGTTTTTTTTTTTATTTTTTTTATTTTTCGAAAATGCAGGGATGTATATGAGAAACTTTAAGACCTTTTGGGTGATAGTGTAATTAATGAAAACTTAATGTGATTTGCAAAAAAAACATACAGAGGGAAATACATGGGCCTGGAGAGGTGCAGCCCAGCCCATTAACAAGATTTTAAGTTTTCTTGGAGAAGAAGGGGAAAAGATTTGAAGAGAATTGGGAAGGTTTATCTAGGGCTTTAACAAATTTCTTCGTCTCAAAAAATCAATCAAACTCTTCTTCAATTTCTTCGTCTTCTTCAAAATGTGGAAATTAAACGTTGCAGCAAAATCTCTGCGCCATCTCCACCAATCATCATCCTCAAAAATCACTTCATCATCACTTCCTCCACTCTTCTTCACAACCCATGTACGGAATCTCCGTACAGGGCGAGATCCCAGTTTAAACCACGAGATAATTCCTCCGGTGAACTGGGGTATTCGAATAGTTCCGGAAAAGAAAGCGTTTGTGATAGAAAGGTTTGGGAAATACGTTAAAACGCTGCCGTCGGGGATTCATTTTTTGGTTCCATTGGTGGATCGAATAGCGTACGTGCATTCTTTGAAAGAAGAAGCGATTCCAATTCCAGACCAGTCGGCAATCACTAAGGATAATGTTAGTATTTTGATTGATGGGGTGCTTTATGTGAAGATTGTGGATCCAAAACTTGCCTCTTATGGAGTTGAGAATCCAATTTATGCCGTGATTCAGCTGGCGCAGACCACTATGAGAAGTGAGCTTGGGAAGATAACTCTTGACAAGACTTTTGAAGAAAGAGATACTCTCAATGACAAGATTGTGGTAACTTTAATTTTTTGTTTTAATCTTTTTCTTTAGAGCAGAGTTTGGTTTGTGATTGAAAATATAATTGATATAATATTCAAAAGCTGATTTTAGAGGCATAAGATATAGAAAGAAAAGCAACTCTCACTCTTTTTTTTTTTTTTTTTACCTGCATTTAAATTTAGAAATTAAATGGGTGTTATTATTTTGGTGTAATGATTGTGTCAAGTTTGTTTTTCTTTACCCTTGTGCGCATTTATTTAATTTGTGATGCGAACTATGTTTGATGTAATGCTTAAAAGCAGGTTATAGAGGTAAAAGTTATAGAAAAAGGAAGGACTTTTTTTTCTTTTTTTGGGTTTTTTAATTTCACCGTAGTTGTTGGAAATTGTGAAATAACTGATTTTGAAAACATATGGACTTATTTCAACTAAATATGTTTTTATAAAATTCTTTGTATATCTTGTTAAAAATTTATATCAAATGGGTGTTATTATTCGTTGGCCAATGATTGTATTGAAATTGGAATTTCTGTTACAGGAAGCAATCAATGTGGCTGCGAAAGACTGGGGTCTGCAGTGCCTTCGGTATGAGATAAGTGAGTCACTTCTTGTTTCTCTTTTGAGTTTAATGTATGAATTGCATCTTTTGGTTCTTGAGATTCTTATTGTGCACTGGCCTTTATTTCATCAGGGGATATATCTCCACCTCGTGGAGTGCGGGTGGCTATGGAGATGCAGGCAGAAGCTGAGCGTAAAAAGAGAGCTCAAATTTTGGAATCAGAAGGTAATACTGTTATTTTTATATTTCAATTCTCGATGTGGTGAAATAATTCATCGAATGTTAATGGGTATTGCAAACCTTTTTTATCAAAAAGGAAGAGTTATGTATTCTTGCTTGTTGATTCCTTTGCAATATTTAACAGGAGAAAGGCAGGCCCATATTAATATTGCTGATGGTAAGAAAAGTTCAGTGATCTTAGCATCAGAAGCTGCAAAGATGGATCAGGTGAACAGGGCACAAGGTTGGTCATTGTTTTGATTTAAAATTATGCATTATATACTTATCACTCCCAAGGCCGATAGCATAAGTACATCTAGGTTCATAATTCATGAGTATTTTGTTTGGTATAATAAATAGTTGCAAATTGGAACTATATACAGTTAGCATGGTATTAGATGATGCTGCAAACGGGGAAACTTTACATGGCATTTTTATAAGTAGTTGAATATGTGAAGATTTGCATGTAGATTCTCTTTTAAGTTTTTATTCAGTTGCTTGTTCATGTGCTCTTCTACCGGCCAGCTTGTCACTACCATAACTCTTGTAGTGCTTCACTTATGTTAATTATATAGTCATCCATTTTCATACCCATGTTGGTTGTCCTATTGAAGTGGACCCAGATCAATTTTGAAAACAATATGGTTGGGCTTGATCATCGTCTTCCTAAACTGATGTAGATTGACTTCTTAAATTTCCGTATGCTACTGCAGGTGAAGCAGAAGCCATTATTGCTAGAGCCCAGGCAACTGCCAAAGGTCTTGCCATGGTGTCACAAGCCGTAAAGCAACATGGGGGAGTAGAGGTGGCGTTTTCTAATCCTGGTTTTAGTTTCATTTCTTTGATGCCTTGACTAAGAGTGTGGAAACAGAAACCTTGGTTGCATATTGTTAGTCTGCATTGTTTACTATTGCCCTTCAATTTTTTGACTTATTTATGTTTAGATTGGTCTAGATACAACACTATTGATAATTCCACATGTAATTATATGCTTTCACACTTTACCAAATACAAAGACTTGTGAATAACACACTCTCTACCTGTGTTCTCTAGAGACACAAAGTATGATATGGATGGATACCATTTGGTCTTGTAAATGGAACCCACACAAGTACAACACAGCACTTACCAAAAAATGAAATTTAATGATAATAATAATGGTTTTAATGGAGGAATTATTGTCTTCAAAATCAATCTGAATGAGGAAGTTGGTATATGCTATCTACTATTTTTTACAATTATTTGAAATATAAAACGGTAGAGCTAACATTTTTATGTATTTATATGATCAATTATCATGCTTCATTGAAGATCAATTATGATGTGATTTACAGGCAGCAAGTTTGAGAATTGCCGAGCAATATATTCAAGCCTTTAGTAACATCGCCAAGCAGGTAAAAAATTGAACTAATAAGTATTGTGTGCCAATTTAGTGTTATTTGTTGCTGATGTACTAAAGTTTTCCTTATACTTTCCTGCCATTCCACTCTTTTATAGGGTACCACAATGTTGCTTCCTAGTGCCGCTTCCAATCCTGCAAGCATGATAGCTCAAGCTATTACTATGTATAAGAGCCTACTCGGTAATGTGCCCAATGACGGTACTCAAGAAACATCTTTGCCTGGTTTATTAGAGGGAAAGGGTGATGCTCCCTCTGGAGAATCGGGAGATGAGAGCCCTAAAACCGCAAGAATACCTGATACAGATCGTTTTGTTGACCCGTCTTTTTCACTTCAGAGCCCGAAGAAAGGAAAATGAAGTTGATACCATCAGCCCTTTCCATTTAAGTGAGTCAAACTGTTCCTGGCGTCTGTTGAGTACTGTTTTAACTCAAGTTATAAGTTTTGAAATTCTTCAAAAGAAAAGCATTTTATAGTAGGATGCTTATTCATTTTACCTGGAGTTATGCGGATGTCATTTTTGGTAATAGAAAAGCTAGTTGAGAGTAAGAAGGGATTAAAAAATTTTCAGTTCAATGCTGGCCTTATGCTATATAGTTGTATAACATCAGTTTGTCTAGGATGTTACATTGGTTATTTGGACTGTCTAATTTTCTGGTTAACTTACATTTTAAAGGGCGTAGAATTGTTGACGTCAAAGTTTGGTTAAAATGCAGGTAGATTCTAACACAAGCTAGTTTGACTCACCTCTTAATTTGTTTTTCCAGCCCATTAACAAGATTTTAAGTTTTCTTGGAGAAGAAGGGGAAAAGATTTGAAGAGAATTGGGAAGGTTTATCTAGGGCTTTAACAAATTTCTTCGTCTCAAAAAATCAATCAAACTCTTCTTCAATTTCTTCGTCTTCTTCAAAATGTGGAAATTAAACGTTGCAGCAAAATCTCTGCGCCATCTCCACCAATCATCATCCTCAAAAATCACTTCATCATCACTTCCTCCACTCTTCTTCACAACCCATGTACGGAATCTCCGTACAGGGCGAGATCCCAGTTTAAACCACGAGATAATTCCTCCGGTGAACTGGGGTATTCGAATAGTTCCGGAAAAGAAAGCGTTTGTGATAGAAAGGTTTGGGAAATACGTTAAAACGCTGCCGTCGGGGATTCATTTTTTGGTTCCATTGGTGGATCGAATAGCGTACGTGCATTCTTTGAAAGAAGAAGCGATTCCAATTCCAGACCAGTCGGCAATCACTAAGGATAATGTTAGTATTTTGATTGATGGGGTGCTTTATGTGAAGATTGTGGATCCAAAACTTGCCTCTTATGGAGTTGAGAATCCAATTTATGCCGTGATTCAGCTGGCGCAGACCACTATGAGAAGTGAGCTTGGGAAGATAACTCTTGACAAGACTTTTGAAGAAAGAGATACTCTCAATGACAAGATTGTGGTAACTTTAATTTTTTGTTTTAATCTTTTTCTTTAGAGCAGAGTTTGGTTTGTGATTGAAAATATAATTGATATAATATTCAAAAGCTGATTTTAGAGGCATAAGATATAGAAAGAAAAGCAACTCTCACTCTTTTTTTTTTTTTTTTTACCTGCATTTAAATTTAGAAATTAAATGGGTGTTATTATTTTGGTGTAATGATTGTGTCAAGTTTGTTTTTCTTTACCCTTGTGCGCATTTATTTAATTTGTGATGCGAACTATGTTTGATGTAATGCTTAAAAGCAGGTTATAGAGGTAAAAGTTATAGAAAAAGGAAGGACTTTTTTTTCTTTTTTTGGGTTTTTTAATTTCACCGTAGTTGTTGGAAATTGTGAAATAACTGATTTTGAAAACATATGGACTTATTTCAACTAAATATGTTTTTATAAAATTCTTTGTATATCTTGTTAAAAATTTATATCAAATGGGTGTTATTATTCGTTGGCCAATGATTGTATTGAAATTGGAATTTCTGTTACAGGAAGCAATCAATGTGGCTGCGAAAGACTGGGGTCTGCAGTGCCTTCGGTATGAGATAAGTGAGTCACTTCTTGTTTCTCTTTTGAGTTTAATGTATGAATTGCATCTTTTGGTTCTTGAGATTCTTATTGTGCACTGGCCTTTATTTCATCAGGGGATATATCTCCACCTCGTGGAGTGCGGGTGGCTATGGAGATGCAGGCAGAAGCTGAGCGTAAAAAGAGAGCTCAAATTTTGGAATCAGAAGGTAATACTGTTATTTTTATATTTCAATTCTCGATGTGGTGAAATAATTCATCGAATGTTAATGGGTATTGCAAACCTTTTTTATCAAAAAGGAAGAGTTATGTATTCTTGCTTGTTGATTCCTTTGCAATATTTAACAGGAGAAAGGCAGGCCCATATTAATATTGCTGATGGTAAGAAAAGTTCAGTGATCTTAGCATCAGAAGCTGCAAAGATGGATCAGGTGAACAGGGCACAAGGTTGGTCATTGTTTTGATTTAAAATTATGCATTATATACTTATCACTCCCAAGGCCGATAGCATAAGTACATCTAGGTTCATAATTCATGAGTATTTTGTTTGGTATAATAAATAGTTGCAAATTGGAACTATATACAGTTAGCATGGTATTAGATGATGCTGCAAACGGGGAAACTTTACATGGCATTTTTATAAGTAGTTGAATATGTGAAGATTTGCATGTAGATTCTCTTTTAAGTTTTTATTCAGTTGCTTGTTCATGTGCTCTTCTACCGGCCAGCTTGTCACTACCATAACTCTTGTAGTGCTTCACTTATGTTAATTATATAGTCATCCATTTTCATACCCATGTTGGTTGTCCTATTGAAGTGGACCCAGATCAATTTTGAAAACAATATGGTTGGGCTTGATCATCGTCTTCCTAAACTGATGTAGATTGACTTCTTAAATTTCCGTATGCTACTGCAGGTGAAGCAGAAGCCATTATTGCTAGAGCCCAGGCAACTGCCAAAGGTCTTGCCATGGTGTCACAAGCCGTAAAGCAACATGGGGGAGTAGAGGTGGCGTTTTCTAATCCTGGTTTTAGTTTCATTTCTTTGATGCCTTGACTAAGAGTGTGGAAACAGAAACCTTGGTTGCATATTGTTAGTCTGCATTGTTTACTATTGCCCTTCAATTTTTTGACTTATTTATGTTTAGATTGGTCTAGATACAACACTATTGATAATTCCACATGTAATTATATGCTTTCACACTTTACCAAATACAAAGACTTGTGAATAACACACTCTCTACCTGTGTTCTCTAGAGACACAAAGTATGATATGGATGGATACCATTTGGTCTTGTAAATGGAACCCACACAAGTACAACACAGCACTTACCAAAAAATGAAATTTAATGATAATAATAATGGTTTTAATGGAGGAATTATTGTCTTCAAAATCAATCTGAATGAGGAAGTTGGTATATGCTATCTACTATTTTTTACAATTATTTGAAATATAAAACGGTAGAGCTAACATTTTTATGTATTTATATGATCAATTATCATGCTTCATTGAAGATCAATTATGATGTGATTTACAGGCAGCAAGTTTGAGAATTGCCGAGCAATATATTCAAGCCTTTAGTAACATCGCCAAGCAGGTAAAAAATTGAACTAATAAGTATTGTGTGCCAATTTAGTGTTATTTGTTGCTGATGTACTAAAGTTTTCCTTATACTTTCCTGCCATTCCACTCTTTTATAGGGTACCACAATGTTGCTTCCTAGTGCCGCTTCCAATCCTGCAAGCATGATAGCTCAAGCTATTACTATGTATAAGAGCCTACTCGGTAATGTGCCCAATGACGGTACTCAAGAAACATCTTTGCCTGGTTTATTAGAGGGAAAGGGTGATGCTCCCTCTGGAGAATCGGGAGATGAGAGCCCTAAAACCGCAAGAATACCTGATACAGATCGTTTTGTTGACCCGTCTTTTTCACTTCAGAGCCCGAAGAAAGGAAAATGAAGTTGATACCATCAGCCCTTTCCATTTAAGTGAGTCAAACTGTTCCTGGCGTCTGTTGAGTACTGTTTTAACTCAAGTTATAAGTTTTGAAATTCTTCAAAAGAAAAGCATTTTATAGTAGGATGCTTATTCATTTTACCTGGAGTTATGCGGATGTCATTTTTGGTAATAGAAAAGCTAGTTGAGAGTAAGAAGGGATTAAAAAATTTTCAGTTCAATGCTGGCCTTATGCTATATAGTTGTATAACATCAGTTTGTCTAGGATGTTACATTGGTTATTTGGACTGTCTAATTTTCTGGTTAACTTACATTTTAAAGGGCGTAGAATTGTTGACGTCAAAGTTTGGTTAAAATGCAGGTAGATTCTAACACAAGCTAGTTTGACTCACCTCTTAATTTGTTTTTCGAGAGCTCGCTTAGGGGTCCAATTTGCCTTAATTAACTTCGGCCTTTGGCCCTGACGTACCCCTTGGTCTGCTTAGGGGGTTTGCATAATGGGCAAACTTATCGTTTTTGTTGATATGGAGAGCCCACATAATGGATGAGAATAGGAATAGTTTGCCAACTATCCAAAACCTAGCTTATTACGTGATGTATTTACATACCTTTATATTTAGGTGGTTGTACGTACAATTCTTTTATTTTCATTCCTCAATTGGACAAGATGAACAAGAAATGAGTAATTATAGAGGTTTATTTCAACAACCACTGCATGATTTTCAAAATTTATCGATAAAATATTTGATTTCGAAGATATTAGTCCAAAACTCTGTTACATTAAAAAAAATTATTCAAAATCCGGTACCTACCCTAACATATTTAAAATTCCCTAACACCTAGGGGGTATATTTGTCTTTTCAGAACATTTCCTTTCGTTTTTCTTTTTCATCTGTTTTTGAAAGTTAAAATGATCAAATTACTCTATTACAAAATACACTCCGTTTGTTTTAATATTATCTTATTCCTATAATTATGATTATACAAGTTTGTTTCCCTATTTTGAAAATTCTATTTTATTTTATTTAATTACTTTAAACCTCTAGGTTTGTTAATTTAACTAAATATCCCCCAAAGAAAGTTTAGAAATTGACAAAAGCACCCACACCACCCACATTTGCCAGATTCTAGCCATTGTCGTCGGAAGGTGGTCGGAATCTGGTATAAGGTACACTACCGGCTGGATCTGGCCGGTAGTGCGTCGAGATAACATTTTTCGGCCAAATCCAGCCAATCGTGTGTTGATACAGCAACTTCGGCCACTCTCTGACGGTGGTGGCCGACTGTCGGTATTTAATGGGTGAGTGGGGGTGTTTTTATAATTTTTAATATTTTTATTACAGGAGTGTTTAGTAAATTAACAAACTTAAAATATGTTTTTATTAGTTTTTAAATCATGTCTTGTTATTATCACCCAATTCTTACTTTTTCAAAAATACTAAAACAAATACACCAGGTAACTTTAGGGATATTAATGTCTTTACAATATCAAACCATAAACAAATTATCTTTATGTTTTTGTCTTTTTCTT